AGACGCTATTTTAATTAAACAGTGGTGTGAAAAATCAAATCAGGAAAATTGGAATTATTTTTAAAAGGACCGGCAATTTAATAAATTTCTTTTCTGCGGCCTCGCTGATTATAAAATAGCATAAATCTCGGTTAGGCAGGAGAAGCTACGGTACAAGCTGAAGATACACTGTCTGAGAGGTGTCATTCAACTTCCATGAGAACTATAGTATAAAGAGCTGGCTGCAATTTCAGTATCGAATGTTTCTCAAACCATTTTCCTGCTAAGAATGAGTTCCTTTTTTACTCTCATATGGTAAAACGCTTATGCGACCAGTATTAGAATGGCTCAGCAGATCGTCTCAGAAAAATCGATCAGCATCCTGTGGCATGCAGGTAGTATACTGATCGCAGAAATGAAGCATGTTCGGGTAGGAGTTCTGTGAAACAGGGGTAAGAGGTCAGATTCAAACTTTGGAAGTGGAAAGTTAATATCTCGAACGAAATTCTTTTGATCGTTAACCAGCTTGAGCAAGAAAATTTGACTGACTGCACTTTGGTGCAACCAGCTAAAATCACGGGTAGCATGTTTTGATTCGATAACACAATGGAGAGTGCGGTGTTCTCGTGTAGTCACACCAAAATAGACAAGAGGTACTGCCATGCTGTTTGTCGGGAGGATCAGTTTGATAGTTTGCTCGCAAGCTTGATAACCAATATAATGTGTAAACTCAAGTTTGGTCGTTGCTATCACACTATCATACCATATCTCAATGATGAAAATTTATCTTAAACTGAATGAAGGCTGTATATCCTTTGATAAATTCCTTTTGCAGCTAAAATTTCGATAAACTTTAGTTGGAATATCGATTTTTCGCTCCAACACTAATATCGGTACTTAGAAACAATCGAATTATTGTAATGAGTATTTTGAGAGGATTAGTCAAGTGTCAAGTGTTTGTCGTTTTATGTATACCATCTGTGAGTATCGTTAAGATGCGTCAAAGAGTTTTCCATATATAGACAGACTGCACATATGTCATGACTAATTTAATAGATTAATTCATCAAACTGAGAGGTTTGGGCTAATTATACAAAGGGTGAATTTCAGCAGTCTTGTTCCTGTAGAAAGAATGATTTATAACTGTACCTGCAGGTCAATAGTATCGTATTTTATTGAAGCGGTGTTTGCGGGTACAACGTTTCTAATGGTTGATTAACGTTGGTATTGCTTCGGAAGTTACTCATTTTCTGTATCTGATTTTTCAATGTTCTAGGTATTTATAAAACATCGTTTGGCTACATCTGCTGTTTGGGACCGTTTGGCCGTAAGGTTCATGCAGCATGTCGAAGATGCGTATCTTATAGTGGTTTTGTAGAGCTGCAAACATATCGCTGATAGTATAGACAAAAACTGCTTTCGTCATGGTTTCTAAAGAGGTCGAACTGTTCACGATTGTCACTTTTTTGCTGCTGGCAAACTTAGTGACTCTGCGCGCCAACGATGACTCTGCCGTCGACGCTGCGTCGAAAGAGCATTGGATAGACCCCAACGATATGGTAAATTTCGACCTAAGCAAGGAGCCGGTGAGGAGTAAGTCCGTGGACTCTGACTCGGTAGCGACTAATGAGTTGGAGGTGTTGTTACTACAGCACCAGCTGACTACGTGTCAGCAAATGCTGAAGCATGCACAGGAGGCGCGCTTGAAGGAGAAAGCGGATGCTGACCTAAAGGTTTCCCCTGAGTCGATTCTTATGCAGCACTTTCTGCGCAAACTGCTTAAGAACTTGGACGCACAAGAAGGCCTCAAAGATCCTCGTGTGTACTCAATCGCTACGAAGGTCACCCCGGCACAGGTAGCATCGTGGAAGAAGTTCGTCACCGCCAAAACCGTTCGAGCGAGCGACTGGCAGGAGGTCATCGGGTCTTTGATACGTTTCCTCCATTCGGCTAAATTCAACGACTATCACCGGATCGGCGTGTCAAAAGTCTTGGCTGATTTTCTGCTTCCTTGGTTGCCGGTTTTCAACGTGATCGCCCTCATTATGTTTGTTTGCATGTTCTTCTTGTATCT